TCTTTTGGTGGAACCGGGGATTGAACTCAGGCCCTTGCGCTTGCCAGGGAAGCACTTACTCCACTGAGCCATCTCCCTGGTCCCCCTCCTCTTTTTTTAAAAAAGACAATTTCACTGTGTTACCCAGGCTGGCTCAAGCTACCAGGGTCAAGCCATTCTCCTGCTTCAGCCTCTTGGGTGGTTGGGAGCCAGGTGTGTGCACTGCATAGTGGGAAGGAACACTTTGAAGAGTCTTAGTGCACAGCCAGTGGGTGTCCCTTTAGGACGCTGGATTTCTAGGACCACAAGCCACCACTGCCTGTGTTCCTGGCCTACCTTCTCAGGTGTAGGGGGTGGGATAGCTGCTGGCCGCCCAGGATTACTAGAGGCATAAATGGGATGGGGAAGCCCAGGCTCTGGGGTGGGAGGCCTCTGCTACAGAGCAAACCCCAATGGATTACTTGTTTGACCAGGCCCAATCCCAGGTGCAGTCGCAGTCGCAGTCGCAGCCCCAGCCCCAGCCCCAGCCTCAGCCACCAGCATCCAACAAGCGTCCCAGCAACAGCACACCACCCCCCACACAGCTCAGCAAAATCAAGTACTCAGGGGGACCCCAGATTGTCAAGAAGGAGCGAAGGCAGAGCTCCTCCCGCTTCAACCTCAGCAAGAACAGGGAGCTGCAGAAGCTGCCTGCCCTAAAAGGTACCCAAGGCCAGCCAGGTGGCTGCTGGACCAGGTGTGGGATGCTGGGTGGTGGCAGAGCTAGGGAGCCCTGGGCAGAGTGGTGGCCGGTGGGGAAGGGAAGGCCCTGCAGGGCAAGCAAGGCCTGGCATGAAGAGTGGGGGAAGTGGTGTTGATGTTTGTGGTCTACAGATTCACCCACCCAGGAGCGGGAGGAGCTATTCATCCAGAAGCTGCGCCAGTGCTGTGTTCTCTTCGACTTTGTGTCGGACCCACTTAGTGACCTCAAATTCAAGGAGGTGAAGCGGGCAGGACTGAATGAGATGGTGGAGTACATCACTCACAGTCGTGATGTCGTCACTGAGGCCATCTACCCAGAGGCTGTCACCATGGTGGGCGCTGAGAAGGCATGGGGCAGGGTAGGGTCCTGGAGCAATCTAGGCTCCATGTGACCCAGCCATGCCTCAGTTTTCAGTGAACCTCTTCCGGACACTGCCACCTTCATCGAATCCCACAGGGGCCGAGTTTGACCCAGAGGAAGATGAGCCCACGTTGGAAGCTGCCTGGCCGCATCTCCAGGTGCTAGGGCAGGGACTGGACACTCAGACTGGCACAGGGGACCCCAGGGTCCTTGTGTGATGCCTCAGTGCATGCTCTTTTTCCTCCACAGCTCGTGTACGAGTTTTTCTTACGTTTCCTCGAGTCCCCTGATTTCCAGCCAAACATAGCCAAGAAGTACATCGACCAGAAGTTTGTCCTTGCTGTAAGTCCCCAAGGCCCCACTTCTCTGTGCCTCCCCCACCTGAGTGCAGGCTGCTCTTTCCCTTCTGTCCAACATACATCTGGTATTGACACCATGGGTGGGCAGTAAAGCTCCAGGCCCTCAAGAAGCTTCTAGCTTTTGTGTTTACTTGTGGGAAGTAAACACACACACGCCTGCCCAAACACTACTTTGGGAAGCACAGCAAAATAGAATCCTCTGTCTTCCAGAGATTCCATGCCCCAAGACCCTCAAGGCCCACTGGCTAGGGTGCTGTGTCACTTTGGGCTAGCCTCCCTGGCTGCTGTCTCACTCAAGGCTCTTCTTCCTGCTCACAGCTCCTGGACCTGTTTGACAGTGAAGACCCTCGAGAGCGGGACTTTCTCAAGACCATTCTGCACCGCATCTATGGCAAATTCTTGGGACTCCGGGCTTATATCCGCAGGCAGATCAACCACATCTTCTACAGGTGAGGCTAGAAGTCCAGGCTGAGGGACAAAGCCAGCCCTTGATGGGGTGGGCAAGATAGGGGGACTGCCAAATGTGAGAGGCAACAGCAAGGGCCAAGGGAACCTTCCTCCCATAGGTTCATCTATGAGACAGAACACCATAACGGGATTGCTGAGCTCCTGGAGATCCTGGGCAGGTGAGCAGTAGGGTGGGGCCTAGCTGCCTTCGAAGGATTAGGGGACTTGGTGCTTGAACCTGGGCCTGGCCCTCTGGTCCTGAGCCCCCCCCACCCCCTTAATTCCTAGTATCATCAATGGCTTTGCCCTGCCTCTCAAAGAGGAGCACAAGATGTTCCTCATTCGGGTCCTGCTTCCTCTTCATAAGGTCAAGTCACTGAGTGTATACCACCCTCAGGTAAGCTGCCTTCCTCCTGAGTACCCCGAAGTGGCAGCAGAGACGGGAGGGACAGGGATGACAGTGAGCAGGTGGAAAATTCTTCTCCATACCTCCTCATTGTCTCTGCTACTGACCACTGAGATCCCCACTTCCTCCTGTCTTCATCTTCTGCAGTTGGCATACTGTGTGGTCCAGTTCTTGGAGAAGGAGAGCAGTCTGACTGAACCGGTAATTCCCCTGTGGGTCTCCAGGCTCTGTCTTCCCAGCACTTGCCAGTCTGTAACTTTTTTTGTTTTAGCTAGAGTCTCACTATGTAATCCAGGCTGACTTTGAACTCCCTGTGTGTAGCCCAGGTTATAGGAGGCAATCCTCCTGCTTCAGCTTTCGGAGTGCTGGGGTTACAGGCATGTACTATATTGTGTAACTCTTAAGGAGTGCTACAAGGGGTAGGGGTGGGGCTGTGGCTTGATGGGTGACATGGCTTCCTCTCTGCTAAAGTAAACCTTAATCTCAGGAAGCACATCCAGGCCAGAGAAGCACAAGCACTTATCAGAAGACACCTGGGGGTGGAACAGGGTGGCAGGAAGCCTCCCAGAGAAGCAGGCAGTGTTCAGAGCTTTTCCTCATGTTCCATTCTCACAGGTGATTGTAGGACTTCTCAAGTTTTGGCCGAAGACCCATAGTCCCAAGGAGGTGATGTTCCTGAACGAGCTGGAGGAGATCCTGGATGTCATTGAGCTCTCCGAGTTCAGCAAGGTGATGGAGCCGCTCTTTCGCCAGCTTGCCAAGTGTGTCTCCAGCCCCCATTTCCAGGTGGCAGAGCGCGCCCTCTATTACTGGAACAACGAGTACATCATGAGCCTGATAAGTGACAATGCTGCCCGTGTCCTCCCCATCATGTTCCCTGCACTCTACAGGAACTCCAAGAGCCACTGGAACAAGTATGGGCTTGGGTGGGGCTGGGCAGTGGGGAGATTTGAGGATACAGGGAGAACTGAAAACCAGGGATTTCATGAGGCTCTGAGTACAGAGAGACAGAGACAGATGCCATGAGGGGCCTGTGACACCGAACAGCAGAGCAGTGGCTGTATCCTGTTGCTGCTTGGTCATCTTTTCGCTCTGGTGACAGTTCTATGCCGGGGGAAGCTGATGTGAACTGGTGAAAAATCTCAATGCTGTAGTACAGCTGTTATGAGCAAGCACACTGTGGAGAGTATAGTCTGGAGCATGGGGTGGGTACAGGACAGGCAGACTAGTGTTAGCATGAAGTGCAAGGCATATAATCTGACTTATCTGCTTATACGAAGCTTTCTCAAGTGGAAACAGTAAATGACTAAGCTCTTACAAACATCTCCCAGAAACTAGCAAATTGGGGTCTGGTGCTAAGGACAAGCTCCAGCCTCCTGCACCACCTTTCTTCTGGGTGGCAGGACAATCCATGGGCTCATCTACAATGCTCTGAAGCTATTCATGGAAATGAATCAGAAGTTGTTTGATGACTGCACACAACAATACAAGGCAGAGAAACAGAAGTGAGTGTCTTTCTTGGGAAGCTTTCACCTTTTACCTCTGGCTCCCTTTCCTTCTCTCCAGCCTGGCCCCAATACTACTTGTTCTTCTATAGGGGCCGATTCCGAATGAAGGAAAGAGAAGAGATGTGGCAAAAGATTGAGGAGCTGGCTCGGCTTAATCCCCAGGTAAGATTGTCCTACCACTGCTCTGAACTTGGAGTGCATCTAGAGGTGGGGGAGGACTCTTTAGAGGAAGGGTATGAGGCAGCCAGGCCACACCCCTTGGAAGTGGGTCTCACCACCTGCCCACACCTCCTGTCCCTCAGTATCCTATGTTCCGAGCACCTCCACCACTGCCTCCTGTGTACTCCATGGAGACAGAAACCCCCACGGCAGAAGACATCCAGCTTCTGAAGAGGACAGTGGAGACAGAGGCTGTGCAGGTGGGAGGACCCTGGGGTGAGGGTTGGAGGGTGGGGCAGAAATAACAGATTTGGAAGGAAAAGGAGGTAGGAGTAGTAGCCGAACCAATGAATACAAGGAAACAGATTTTCCTTGGAATTTAGTTGCTAATCCTTCCACACACAGATGCTAAAGGACATCAAGAAGGAGAAGGTGCTGCTCCGGAGGAAGTCTGAACTGCCCCAGGACGTCTACACCATCAAGGCACTGGAGGCGCA